AGCTTTAGAACCAGAAATCCAAAGTCTTAAGTCCTTGCATACATATTAAAAAATTCCTCTTAAGCACATATGAGGCTGGATATGAAAAAAAAAAATGTACATTTCAGTTAATCCCCACCGATACATTTATAATACCATTGCTTTTCTTCTCTTCTCATTCTCTTCCTCCCTTTCTATCAGACCCAATGTCGTGCATTTGTTTATTTGTCTTTAAAAATAATATAGCATTCATTAGTTTTTTTAAAAATAAAGTGTTGTGAGGTCAATTGATAAAAATTGCCTGAGGATACCATAAGGTTGAAACCAAGGTAACAGATTCAACTGATCTCCTGAATTTTGAAGTTAAAAGCTCTACATTTTATTTTTACTTATATTTTAGGTTTTCACATGTGTATTGAACACTTTTTAATACTACTGTTTCCTGGTCTGATTTAACTCTGACCATTAACCTTTTATGTGTGTGTGTGTGTGTGTGTATATATATATATATATAAAATGTACAATCAATTTACAAATACATGAATTATTCACACAAAACTAATGCAAAGGTTAATGATTTAAATGGCAAGACATCCATCATCGCAAACAATTCAAATAGCATACAAAAACCTCCAGATCCGTTATGAATGAATTGATCCTTGTTTATATAAATTATATAATAATTCATGTATATATAAAATGGTAGATGACTCATTTCTGAGTATAACTATTTGTGAGAGTAGTTAGCTAATCCCTAAATGCAGATGCCTGCTTCAACATCCACAGAGCCAATCTCAACAGACCTTAGCTACAATTTTTAGGAGAGAATGCCTTAACTGGTACAATCAGCAGTTAAACTAGGCCATTAGGCTTGAAACCTTGTTTATAAGCTAAAGTGTCCTAACATAACCATTAATGACTTCTGAAGAGTTTTGTCTACCCAGTTCCACACTCAAAATTTTGTTCAACCTGTGGAATGGTTATGAAACACTTTTTAATAATGCCACATTCTGGGATCATCTCCCCCAGACAACTCCTTGAGAGATTGACCATGATGAGATTTGAACCTGGGTCTCATGGTTGGAATCTTAATATTCTAACCACACATCTAAGAGTAAATAATCACAAAATGGATTGCTTTTAAATGAAGCAATACAACCAAAAGAAAACATTTGATAAAAAGGCCAGAGAATATATATATATATATATATATATATATATATATATATATATATATATATATATATAAGGAGTAACAAAAATAAAAAATTTTAAAAAATCATAGATGTCTAGCCACCTCATCCTCACCAGAAAATTCTATTGGGTGGGGGGGCTGATTTAGCCACTGATGATCCCTTTGGCAAGTAGTAGTGGATTACACGGTACAAGTAGCCTTCATAGTAAAGTGGATACTTTGTTTCTACTGAACCAGCACTTCACTACCTAATCTAAGGATTGAACACAGGACCACTAGATGACAGCAACAATCATTCGAATCCTGAAAGCCATCAGTAGTATATTTTTAGAGCTTTTATATTCAATGTCAGAGGGTTGACATTTGGTTATCAACTTCTTTTTGATAATTTTGATTGAATTCATTCCAACTATATGAAATGGTAAGTTCATCATCAACTAACTAATATGTGTTGATAAAAATAAAAAATTTATTTGGTAAGCAAACAGTTATGATATTGCTGAGTTATAAATACATGTGGAAGATAGTTAACAAGTCAATGTAGCAAAACAATTTACTAGTATAAGGTTTTGTATCTCAGATGCCCTCACCACTGTAGCCTTGTGCCAAACCTGCCTATGCTTACTAAGTAATATTGACTTTATATTACACAAAGACTTCAATTAACACTACATAAAAACACAAAGGAATAACTCCCCAAAAGAGAAGAAAATTACAGCACCACATATCTCGTTTATAACTTTCTCTATGTAAACACGTATGTTTTTTTTATTATTAAATGAGGTCCAGTGGATACATGGAGAAGTGAAATGACCATCAGTCTTTGTGAAAATTCAGGTGTGAGGCAAATTCATTTATTTACAGATAACAGAAACAAAATAATGAAGCCATCCATTATCTTTGGAACATATTACACGTAGGAGTTTTAGCACAATTTGCATGTTTATATAAGGCCTGCTTTGCTTATTATTGCAAGATCATTTACACGTTTTTGCCATCTACAAGGTATATTTCTATTTAGCCAAACAAATATATACAGAAGCACAAATATATATATATATATATATATATATATATACATACATACATACATACATACATACATATATATATATATATATATACACATACACACACGTGTGTGTGTGTGTGTGAGGGAGAGAGATGGATAGATAAATAGATAGATATATACAAGAACATATCAGGTTTAATGACAGTTTCTTCTAAGTGAACTCAGGTTCAAATCCTGCTGGAGAGTGCATATTTTTCTCTAATAAAATTTATCAAATATTCTGGCTGGTAGAAGAAAATAAATAAATATACTGTTTAATAAATAAATGCAGCATCTAATAACATATGAGTATCCACTAAAAATAACTTGACATAAAAAAAAGTAATAAAAATCTGTCAGATTAATAAATAAAAGAAATATCCATCCATTTCTTAGAAATTCTTTTATTTACATTAGGATAGGAATCTGAGCAGATATGTCTATTTCAAGAATCAGAGAAAAATCTGTGTTTAAAGACACTATTCAATTTTGCTTGGCCATCAACACACACTGTAGCCGAGAAGTCAAAGCATGTCAAATGTAATGACGGGTTTTCCCTAGGGGAAAACAGGGTGTGTGTGTGTGTGCGTGTGAATTATTCACCAACTCCAGAGTTTCATGTAATATAGCTCATCATGTTCTGAGTTTCATATATATATATATATATATATATATATATATATATATATATATATATATATATATATATTCCATTATTTTTAATCTTGGAAGCCTTATATATATATATATACATATATATACATACATACATACATATTCCATTATTTTTAATCTTGAAGCCTTATATATATATATATATATATATATATATATATATACATATATTCCATAGATTTTTTTATATATATATATATATATATATATATATAAACATACATACATACATATTCCATTATTTTTAATCTTGGGAAGCCTTTTTATATATATATATATATATATATATATATATATATATATATTATTTATTTCTTTAGTATATATATATATACCATCATATTCCAAAAATTTTTTATATGATGATTGGCCATGAAATTTTATTATATATAAAATATATATATTGAGGAATCTAATATATGATATAATAAAAACAAAAAAATATTAATATATCATATAGTGTGTTCAGAAGATTTTATTTTTTTTAATATTTCTTATTGTTCAAAACAAAAAACATTAATATATATATATATATATATATATATATATATATATATATATATAAATAAATAAATAATGGAAAAACTTCTTTTTAAAAAAGTTCTCCTTTTGCCCTTATTCATATAGCATTTTTACAAATATATTTTAATATATCTGAATTTTTTGACACACACATATCGTAAAAAACACATTAAAAAAAATAATTTGTTTTCTAAATTTTATATTCCCAATTTTATGTGCAATATAAACAAATGTAGTCTGATGAAGTCCTAAGGGTTGAAACACATTACACAAAATTTTTTCCCACTTTGACATACATCTTTCTCCTAAAACTGTTCTTGATATATAAAAATTTATATATCATTATCTCTCTCTCTCACACACATATATATATATATATATATATATATATATATAATGGGTGTCTACTAGATTTTGAGTATGACCACTTTTGTAAATTAACTGTTGTTTGGCTTATTCATGAAGAAAGTTTACAGCAACAGACACTTGACAACGTGAAGCCACTCTCTGAACATCACCTAGCAGAATTTTCTGATAAAAATGCTCATGACTGGTGATAGCTTCTATTGTAGATTGTTAATTTAGATCTGCCCTCTTAAGCTGGTTGCCAACTAAAAATGAAGAGTCCAATCTACTTTTTTTAATCTATAACTTAGGGATTAAAAGAAATGGATGTATACCTTTCCCAAAAGTGAACTCAATTGGAATTCAAACCTGTCTCACCAACTTCATATCCCAAACATCTAAGCATTAGACTACCTGTGCATCCATATATATTTTAGTCATTTCAACCCAAGCAAGGTGATAATGTCACACAAGGGGTTTACTTGGAGTGACAGAAAATAAAATGACTTCAGAAAGGACAATAAAAGAACAGGAATCAGGAAAACAGAAGATGGCGATTGAATTTGCATCTCAGTTTTTGAAGATTGTAAGTGGCAGTGAAGCAAGAAAATGGAAGAGAGTTCCTCAAGTTAGAAGTGCAAGAAAAGAAACTATTAGAATATATATATATATATATATATATATATATATATCATTGGCATGTTTGTCTAAAAATAAATACGTCTAAATTCACTTTCATCCCAGCTGTGCACCAATGGCTTAGGCATAAAATCTTGATGCCAGCTTGAGGCAACTGGACGTCTAGCCACACTGATGAGCTGTGAAATAGCAAAACAGTCTGTCTGTGGATGACTATATATATATATATATATATAAATAAATAAAGGATGTGCTGGAATGTTCTTGGCTCAACTGACTTTTCATTCAAAATCTGATAAAATGGAAAAAAAAAAGAAAATCAAAACTTTTGCAATGGACTTCTTGGTCAAGCTGAGAACTTTTCATCCCCACCCCTCATAAATACTGTATGTGCACCCATACACATGTATGTGTGTGTGTGTGGAATCTTGGTACAGCTATGTTGCAAAATAATTGCTTGTATATATTTATGCACCCAGATACAGATGTTAAGCAAAGATATCCAAGTTTGTGTGTGATGGAATTCATAAGAAAAAAGAAAAACGTACAAAAACATTAGGATAAAAATGTCGAAATGATAAACAAAAAACAAATTCAAATAAGAAAAAGGAAAAAGATGAAATGAATCAAAGAAGAAAAAGAAAGGAAAGAAAGAAGAAACGTATAGAAAAGCAAAAAAAAGAAACAACAAAAAAGAGAAACAAAGGAGAAAAAAGATGAAATAAAAAGATCCCATCCTCCACCCACAATAAAATAAAAAGGCAGAAAAGGCAAAAATTGCAAAACTGAGAGAAAGCAAAAGACCAAGAAAAAAAAAAAAAAGCAAGAACACAGTTGATGCTGGCACCATCCAAAGAAACTGCACACTATGACACCGATTCTTTTGTTTGTTCTTGTAATGTTTGTACAAGCATCACTTTTGTATCTAACTTGGCCGTGTGTATCTATGTGTGTACCTTTATCATCTGGCCTGCGCATATCAGTGAAAATCTTGCTTCAAGAGAAACAAGAGATATTTGGTTGTCCTTAGAATGACATGACACTGCCCCCCATCTGCACCACTTGTAGTGACTCAGTTCACTATGCCCTCACAATAACGTACGTGCATTTATTATTACGTGTGCTTAGTTCTCAAGATTAATACTACAGCCTCTATTTGTGCAGTAAACAAGAGTCTTCCTGCACATTTTCATTTGTTGTTACTTTGCTTGTAACAGCCTCCACCCTAATGAAAATATAACACATTTCATAAGGTATCATATCACTCACATGCCAACTCAACAGAGTGCAAACTTCAAACAAGACTGTTGAGCCATCAGATCCCTTAAAAGGGGTTTCAATCTTAAAATAAAATACATGTGTTCAGGATTCGAAAGGTTACCAATACAAGCCAATATTTCATTCCCAGAAAAGTAAATAAATAAAATAAGAATAAAAGTTTAATCAAAGAATTTAATAATAGAATATATATATATATATATATATATATATATATATATATATATATATATATATATATATATGTACTTTTGACTTGTGTGTCTAATTAATGAATATTTATTTATTTTATATTAGTGCTGGTTTGACAATATATGTTAACGAAAATTCAGCCAAAAAGAAACGAAACCAATTGTAAGCAAAATAAGTTTTTTTTCTTCCTTCTGATCAGTCTAATATTTATTACAGCCAAGTGGTATTGGAAAATTCCATGCTATGACTGGACAATTCAGTGAAAATTACACAGGCAGCTAAAACACATTGGCACCCATCTTACTGAATCAGTCTGCCAGTAGGTTTGGTGCAATCAACTTATGTCCAATCATTATGCAAGATTTTGTAATGTGCTGTTGGAACAATTGTGATTTTTACAATAAATGACAAATTCAAGCAATGTGCCTTGAATCAAATTTTGTGTAAAGCTTGGTAAATTTGAAATGCTTTTTCCACAAGCAGACAAGATTCTCCTCAGTAAGGATGACAAAACTTGAAAGGCATTGGACATCTGCAACACCTTTTTCCATAAAAAAAAATAGCCATAAGGTTACTTGGAATCATCCAAGATCCAAGCTGGGGCACGTTCTCAACTACGTCATTTGTCATAAGCAAGACCGTAAGAATGTATGCAAGTTTTGAATCATACATGGTGCTGTACATAGGACAGAACTCAGGTTTGCATGTGATAAATTGAACCTTTGCATCAAACATAAGATATAATGGAACAAGGATTTCCAATCATACTGAGGATCCAAACTTGAGGCATCATGCTATTTTGCAAGGATCTTAAAATACTATTCACTGGTATCAAATTTATCAGCATCTGCAATTAGTGTAAGACCAAAGTTTACAACACTAGTGTTGAAGTTCTTGGTCTCAGAAAGAGAAAACATTAGGATTAGTTTGATGAATATGATTCTGTGATAAATTATCTTTTGAATGTCAAAAATGATGGCCATCAAAAGCTTAGAGGCTGACATGCAAATTTATTTGCAGACCCATGGCTACTCAGTTCAGCATACAGTGAAGTCATGGTCTTCTTCTGTAAAGAAGTGGCAGTTATATATATATATATATATATAAATACATGCACATACAAGACAAAAGGAAAAGTTAATGAGCCAATGTGTTTCATCTTGTGATGGACTGTATCAAGGCAAATATAAGTATTTTATTTTGCAACAAGTATTTATAAACAGACAAAAAAAAATTAGCTTTTACTTCTGTTTATAAATACATTTTGAAATAAAATCCTTAGCTTTGTCTTGATAAAATCCAACAGAGGATGAAATGCATCAGCTAAGGATAGATATATCATCTTTTTTTAGATATATTTTTAGTTATATCTGAACTTTTACACCCCCAACACATATACTATTTATTACTTAAATGTTTTTTACTGGATACACATAATTGAATAGACACTCCATTTATTTGTTAAACAGTATATTTATTTTCATCTACCATCCTGAATATGAGACAAATCTTATTAAAAAAAAAAAAAATGTGTGCTTTCCAGTAGAATTCAAAACTGCATCTCCTAGACAGGGGAAACCATCATTAGATCCGATATTCTTTAGATCTCAAGAATAAATTTGTATTTAAAAGGTACTATTAACCTTACTTGATGATTCATTCACTTTGTATAGTTAAACAAGATATCAGTACAGGTATTTTATAGTGTCTGAATAAACAAGAATCTAATCAGTCTAGTCTAAGACATGGGACATATTTTTGAGTCATTTTTTTCTATCCATTATGGTATATTATTTGATTCAAAACCCCAAACTGATGATATACAAGTCTCTCGCCCCTATTTACATTTAATATTACAGTCTTATAGAGTTAAGTGAAATATCAGTGCAGTTAGTTTACAGTGTCTGAATAAACAAGAAGCTACTTAGTCTAACATATAAGCAAACGTGGGAGGTACTTGGGAGTCTTTTTTTTTCTATCCATTATAGTAAATTATTTGATACAAATAAACAAATAAAAATTATTTAATTTTAGAATATTCTATTTACATATTTCTATGACTTAATTCTTAGTTGACAGTAAGATATACCTGTCAGTATATATAAGCCAATATCCATTGTCTGTTCATTAGTTTCAAAGAGATATAATCTAATAAATAGAGTTTAATATATTTGGTTGCTAATTTGCAAGAAATTAAGATGTTAAATACAGTTTCATATGTTTTGTCTTTATTAAAATTCTGAAAATAGCTTTTTAAAACAAATAATAAATTTTTACAATAATTCTTTTTAAACAAAAAAAAAAAATTAAAGGTGAAATTCCCTGAAATGTAAAAATGAAGTAAATATTTTTTTGTGTTTTAAAAGCTGACATTCATATCTAAACTATGCAGGATAGATTTTTACTTAATTCTCATGATTTTAAAATAAGAATAAAATTATTAAAAATTGTCATATATACAATTCTGTGGACAAATGTAGAGATAACAGTTTTGAAAATAGGAAATGCTAAGAAAATAATTCTTCTTAAATTATAATAAAACTAATTTAAAAAGTCCACATATCTATATTTCTTAGGAAGCAAATCTTTTTTGGTAGTGTTTAAAAGAAAAAATATATTATTAAATACAGAAAAAAAATCAAAATTAATAAAAACAATGCATTTTTAATTTGGTAGCAAAGTTAATTTACAGTATTAACATTTTTTAAGTTGAATGCATTTTTCTTCCAAAATAAAATACATTTGTGTCTAAATCTCAGAAAATCAATGAGACAGATCCAAGCAGAAAAAAATATTATTTTTCTTACGATATCTATTGTTTAAAAGAACTGTAAAGTATTAAGAAGTTCTTTTGCTACTTACTGCCAATATGCTTTTTATATTGGCTTATTAATGAGAGTTCTTCTGGCAAAAGAGATAAGAAAATGATGTTAGTTTTCACTTTTGTCTGATTATTCAAGGCAATTTAATAAGGCGAAAACTGTTGTGTTAATATAATGAGTCTTTCATTAAACAATTTAACCTGACTTATCCATCAAACTGTCACAAATGCTAAATTTGTCAATCAATAAATCAGTTCTAACGAGAATCTTCTGTTTATTTGCAATGAAAGTAAACAAAATGGATACTGGTGAGGGGGGGATTATTGAACAGACACTGATTCTTGATAAGCAGATTTTTAACTAGTAAGGTGTCAAGTGAACACAGAAAAAAAAGAAAGAAGGATAAGGAAAAAGATTAGGAAAAAATCTATAATTATAAGAGACAAATAATTGTTCTATAGAATAAAAGAAATAATAAAGAAGAAAATATGAAAGAAATATGAGACCAGAAAAGAAAGAAAAGGAGATAAAAATGAAAAGAAAAAAATCAATTAGGTAAATTAAGAGATAAAGAAATTGATTCATTGTTTTTTATGATTTATCAACCCTTTGTGGGTTATTTAAAGCCGAAAGATATTTTGGATTGTAGGAGGCTGCTTACAGTATCCAGTGTTTCCAAGTAGTCACCCATCTAAGTAGACAGGGCTTGATGCTGCTGAACTTCACGAGAACCAGTGTCTTCAGTATGATTTGATCATCAGAAGAGATATAAAGAAAGGTAGAATAAGAGACGTTTGAAAGAAATAGAAGGACAGGATATAAAAGAAAAAGATAGAGAAAGGACGAAATAAAAGAAAGAAAAAGTGAAAAATGAGAAAAAAAAAGCAGAAAATGGTAAAGAGAGTAAAAAAAAAAAAAAAAAAAAAAAAAAGAGAGAATATAAAAAACAAAGGAAGAAACAAAAAGAGAAAAATAAATAGAAATAATAAAAAGAGAAAAAAAAGTTGAAATAGAAAACGAAAAGGTGAATAGAGGAGAAAGAAAGGTAAAAGATAAATCCAGTAAGAAGAAAGTAAGGAAGAAAACCAAAGAGAAAGGAAAGATGAATAGAGGAGAAAGAAAGAATAAAAAAAAAGAAAATAAATGAAGAAAGAAAAGAGAAAGAAATGGTTATACTAACTATAATCTTCTCATCAGGCCAACTTAAAATGTAGTCTGTCTGATAAAATGAATATACTTATATTCCTTGAAATAAAATTATTACTGACTACGGATCCTTAAGGTTTTTTCTAAGTATGATTA